GCAGAGGAATATGAATGGTCCAGAGACAAGACAAGTAGTGATTCCTGGTTTGGTTTGCTAAGCACTGTAGTGATTACGAGGCCTGTTTATAACTTTATATGCTATACCCAAGCTAACTTACCCAAGGTGTGACGAGTCACTAAAAAGTTTGGCCAACAAATTATTATCCACAACGAAATGAGTGTCATCTGATTAATTTTCTTATGGTGGAATCTGTGCACTCATATTCAAGTACTATACTTAACATAGATGCTTGAATCTACGACTAATTATAATTTCAGTGATCGATACATTAGTGGTGTCTTCGTTAGTCTTAAGATATACTACCTCCTTCTTTAATAGAGTTAATTAGATTCATGCCATTATAAATTTTATGGTTTTTTTAAAACCTAAGCCAGCATTACTGGTTTTATATTAAGAGAGAGAGAAACTGTACAGACAAGAGACAACGACCCAAATTATAAGGGAAACCGGGCCCGAAAACCATACAGCTGCACGGTTAATTATGGGGAACCGGCTGAAACCCAACGGACAGAAGAAAGCATGGGACCTAACACACAACTAACAACAACAACGGAGCCCAAATACAGGACATCGTTGCCAAGCTAAACACAAAAACGGCACAACAGCTCCGACATCACAGAAGAGGTGTTATCGTTGCCGAGCTAGCCGTCCAAGCAACCCAGCAGCGCCGACTTCACCACTGCAGCGACACTGAAGCCACAAAAGTCGCCAAAGTGAAAGCAGCTCCAACATCCACAATGGATATCAGCCAAGCCACCAAAGAGCCACTTCCTCCACATGGCCAGCACCAACTCTTTGGAAAAGACTACAACACGTCATCGTTGCCAAGCGTCGCCGCACCCCAACAGCGAGCAGCTCCGACTTCATCCGCAGAAGCAACCGAAGAGTGTGTCGTCCACCATAGAATGAAGCAGACCCAAGAGGTTTAGGCCTCGCCGAATGCCAAGGAAAGAAACCTTTTGAACCGAAGGGACCATCAATAGTCATCGATGTAAGGAACTTCCCCGAAGCGACGCCCCCAAGAAGGACACGACGCGTAACACCGTCGCCGCTCGTCCGAAGCCGGAGCAAGGTTTTCACCTGGAGATTTGTGGGGCAAATGGCAGAGCACCATGACAACGCCTTCAAGAAGGGAAACAGCGCCAACAGCGTCGTCATCATCGAACTGGCCAAAGGCACGGCAAGGCTTTCGCCAGCGTCTGCACATTACCCACACAAGCCCCCCACATCGACGGCCACACGATAGTCCACGACGTCTCACAAGCATTCAACCCTCGACGCAACCTACCGTCGCCCACACTCCCCTGCTGCACCGACCAGAACCGGCCAAGGCCGCCAAGGGACCGGTCGTCGAAGCTCGGCTAGCCATCCATGCCGCCGGCCGCGCTTCCACGTGCTGCACCGACCTCTGCCACCGCCGGCCGCACAACCACGCGCCGTCGCCAGCCTCCACGCCGCCGGCCACGCCTCTACACACCGCACCGGCCTCCCGCTGCCAGCCGCGTCTCCACGCTGCTGAGCCAGCCTCCACACTCCACGTGACGCACCCGACTCCACGCCGCCGGGCCGGCCTCCACGCCACGCCGCCGGCCGCATCTCCACGGGCCGCGCCGGCCTCCACACCGCGGGCCTCGCCTCCACGCTCCTCCACGTGCCACCACCACCAGAGCCACGCCTCCTCTGCTCCCGCTGCCGCCTGCATCCCCGCTGCCTGCCGCCGCCACTGCATCCCCGCCGCCACCCGCCTCCCCTCCCGCACCTGGCTCCAGATCCAGCAATGGTCGACGTGGATTCGGTGATGCCCGAGGTCGCAGACTCCGTCACCGCCGCCTTCACCACCGCGGCCCACACCCCGCCGCCAGTCTCCGCCTCCGCCTGCCGCCGCCAACCCCGCGCCCTGCGCCGCCTGTCGCCACCACGTCCACCTACTGTCGTCGCCCGCGCGCCCTGCACGCCTCCGGCCTCGACGACGGCGCCGCTCCGACCGGCCTCCACCCTCAAATTCGCCCATGCCAGATCTAGGGTGGCCGCCGCCACGAGCCCTGCCCGGCCGTTTGCTCAGGTGGCGGCGAGGCAGAGGGGAGGGGGGAAGAACGGCGGCGGCGGTGGGTTGGGTCGCCGCCCGAGTTGCCTGAGCGGGAGGCGACGTGGGGGGATACGAGGCCCGATGTAAGGTTTTGAACTATTTTATGGTTTTAAAATATACCATTACTATTTAACTATTTGAAACGTTACCATTACAATTTCATATATATTTAAAATATACCACTACTTATTCAAAGTGTTCTCTAAAAATTTTTGGACTGAATTGTTCATTTTCCACTAATGGAGCTAGATCTGGCCGGCTCTTGCGACGGTGCGTTCTCGATCTGATGCTATCTCCATCCTCCTCACTCTGGTGCGACCTTGGTGCCCACACCCTCTGTCCTCCAGGTTACAAGGCTTCTGAAGAATTATTCAGAGTTTGTTTATCTCTACCATGGTTTCAATGATGAAAGGGCTTTGTGAAGCGCAGGGGGAAGCGCGTGCCATGGGAATGGAGCACGAGGAGGCGCGGTGCTCGCCGCCGGCGGCGGCGGACGTGACAACGGTGGCCGCGGTCGAGGCTGCGGCTGCGAACTTCATCGGCTGCTGCTGCTGGACTGCTTCCTTTTCGTGTTCAGTCTCTGCATCTTGCATCTTCAGTTAACAGTACAAAAATTGACAATCATCGACATCAACTTGCTGAATTTGAGTGTCCAAGCTTTGAATCATTCAATCGCTTCCAGCGGATGGATACATATTTACATTTCTTCCAGTGGACTGTCACCTGCTGTAGTGCTGTAGCTCCAAGACATCGGATGCAGGCCGGATCCATCTCCATTAGTACAATTTGGTCCAAAAATTTTAAAAAATACACAAAAGGAGTAAGTAGTGGTATATCTTAAATACCTGTGAATTTGTAGTGGCACGATCTTAAATAGATAAATAGTAATGGTATATTTTAAAACCGTAAAATTTATAATGGTATGTATCCAATCAACCTTTTTTTAATATATGACACCGTTCACTTTTTAGCTAACGTTTGACTATTCGTCTTATTCAATTTTTTTGTAAATATAAAAAAATTTAAGTCATGCTTAAAGACCATTTGACAATAAATCAAATCAGAATAAAATAAATAATAATTACATAATTTTTTGGAATAAGACAAATGATTAAACATATTTTAAAAAGTCATCGGCGTCATATATTAAAAAATGGAGGGAGTATATAGAAAAATTATTATCTGTAAGTATGGCAAGATTTGACTTAAAAATGTGCATTAACAAATTAGTGAAATATGGTTTGCAACAGTTTAAAGAACCAACAAAAAAATATGGCCACTTAACATTGAGGGCAAACTTTGGCAGCGAATCAAAAGGATACGGAGAAGGGAGCGAATAGGAATAAGTTCAGTTCATGACCCTCAAATATGATCGAAATCTAGTCCATAACCCTAAACTATAAAACCGGATATCTCGACCCCTAAACTCCTAAAACCGAAGCAATTCGACTCCCTAGGCGGTTTTGGGAGGTGGTTTTGCTGACGTGGCGCCACGTGGAAATATTGACCAAGTCTTCATTACACGTGGCGTTGACGTGGCAACTACGTGGCGGTAGAAATAAAAAATATGTGTGGGACCCATTAGTCATTCACACACAAAGAAATGTGGGCCCACTGACATGTAGGGCCCACAAGTCAGTCCTCCTTCCTCCTCCCTCACTCCCTTCTCTCTCTTTCTCTCCCCTTCTTCCCCCTTCGACCGGTGGCGCGCGGGGACTTCGGCAGCGGTCGGCGGTGGCGGAGGCGGCATCCGGCGGCGGCGGTGTTCGGCAGCGGCGGCGCGGATATCCGGCGACGGCGCTGAGGCTGGGCACGAAGGTCCCGCGGCGGCGCGGAGGCTGAGCGCGGAGATCCAAAGGCGGCACGGAGGAGGAGGAGGCTCGCCGGCCCCTGGCCCCCTCCCGCTGCCGCCGCGGGCTCCCGCCCGCCCGCCGCCGCCGCTGGCCCCCGTCCCACGCTGTCGAACGCCGCCGCCGCTGGCCGCTCTCTGGTGATGGCGGCGGCGGTGGAGGAGGAGGAGGCTCGCCGGCCCCTGGCCCCCTCCCACCGCCGCCGCGGGCTCCCGCCCGCTCTCCGCCGCCGCTGGCCCCCATCGCACGCTGTCGAACGCCACCGCCGCCGGCCGTTCTCTGGTGATGGCGGCGACGGTGGAGGAGGAGGAGGAGCGCTGGCCCCTGGCCTCCTCCCGACGCCGCCGCTGGCCCCCGTCGCACGCTGCCGAACGCCGCCGCCGCCGGCCGTTCTTGCTGTCCCCGCGCGCCACCGGCCGAAGGGGGAAGAAGGGGAGAGAAAGAGAGAGAAGGGAGTGAGGGAGGAGGGACTGACATGTGGGCCCTACATGTCAGTGGGCCCACATTTATTTTTGGGGGAATGACTAATGGGTCCCACGCATATTTTTTATTTCTACCGCCACGTAGGTGCCACGTCAACGTCACGTGTAACGAAGACTTGTTCAATATTGCCATGTAGGCGCCACGTGGCGCCACGTCAGCAAAACCGCCTCCCAAAACCGCCAGGGAGTCGAATTGCATCAGTTTTAGGAGTTTGGGGGTCGAGATATCCGGTTTTGTAGTTTAGGGTCATCGATTAGATTTCGATCAAATTTGAGGGTCATGAAGTGAACTTATTCCGAATAACACCTCGGAGAATTCTAGCCATATGGGCCTGAGATTATGGACAGAAACACTATGGCTAGTCTCAGCCCAAAGAATAGTTTGCTTATATGTTGGGCCCATAATGACCGGTTAACATGTCCGTTTCTCGATCTCAGTTTCGACTGCAAACCTCAGTAATGTGGTAGTTGCAGTATTGGCTTCAATTCAAAAATTCAAACAAGCCCATAGTACCTAGATAACAGCAACACTGATGGCGCTAAAGGAACATGTTAATATCGTAGTGCATCACCAGTAATTTGACTAATTTCCATTCATGGGGAGCTGAATTTGAAGCATTATTTGTTTCTTTGCACATCAGGTACTACAGCATCGGTATCACAGCATCATATGTAAGTTTTCATTCCTAGCTGTTACAGATGCCAGAAAGACACTGAACAGCTGAATGTGGTAGACGCCAGACATACCACGTCTTACGTTTAAGTTAAACACTGCAGAGCTCAACCCCACAAGTGTAGGCATTGGCTCTAGTTATTTACCAAGGCAACAGTTTGGCTCGAGGACAGGATTGGCAACGCTCCAAATAGACAGGGTGCAGCTACTCGTTACTGTTCTTCCTTGTTCTTGTCTTCGATGGGATCACCATTCTGGATCAAATCCTCAGGAGGCAAATTCATACACTCTACAGGACAATAAACAATGCCATCATACAACATAAGAAAATGAAATGCACGTACACGGAGTTGAGATGCATTCATGTACAGACAAGAAGTACCATCATTGTCAGCAGATGCATAGGGAGTCCGCCGAGCACGTGCATGTTGTTGAGTAGGCTGAAAGTGGATTGGGACACAGTAAAACACCGAAGGAAAGAAATGAATATAGTAGCATGACATAGAATGCAATATGACTTCTCATATACTTGTTCAGAGTGATAAAAGAAATGTTGTCAGTCTTGATAGCAAAACATGTAGGGGAGAGCATATCAGAAGCAACATGCTAAAAGCAAATGATCTGGGTATTCACTTTCAGCCAGGAGCGGGAACCAAACTTTTTTCAAGACTAGGGCTGAATTAGTGTAATTTGCCTTTTTTTTCTTCTAATTTTTAAATTTTGAAGTGTTATCTCAATGGGTGTTTAGGTTAAGGACTCAGGAGTAGGGCACTAGCCCCACCTGCCCTACTCCTAATTCCGCCCCTAAATTCAGCCATAATCTTCCAGCGAAACAAAAACATGGCAAAAAAAAAAAAATTGTGCATCTTGTGTGCTGAAATGTCAGTACCTGAAGTTTTGGTCGAAGTGCTTCAAGAGGCCCTTTAGGTTTGTGGCTTCCACCTTGCTGCGGCAAGCAAAAGGAAAAACATGGTAAGAATTGAATTCTTCTTCGAAAATTATTGAATATTAATGCAGCACTCAATTCAACTTCATAATGACTTTAGTATTACCTTGCCTAGAGCCCAATCAGCAGAATCAAAGTAAGCCCGATCATGATCCTGATAGATTATTCCAGTTTAAGTATTACATAAGCTCAGTAAGAAATGCAACTTAACCATACATCTGTTTCACCTTTATACAATAATCATCATTTTAACAGAGAAAAACAAATATACTAAAATAAAGAAGGCATTGACCTTAGTTATATGTGGCGTCCTCTTGGGCAGTATTCCACCATATTTTTTCTTGATGGCTGCTTCCTGAACATATTCGCATATAAATATTAGTAATCTAATTAATAGATATTCATACTATTTATGGAATAAATGCCACATGAATAAGTACACACAGTAACATGAAAAATGGTGTAGCAAAAGATCCTTTTCACTTTGCCTGACTCCATTTTTCACCCTGAACTTGTAATCGGGTATTTTCCACCCTAAATTTCTCAAACTGTTCACTCTATTCCCTTGAATCATTTCCACCCAGTTTTGGTACACAGTGGACAGCCCATGTTGGATTTAACCTTGCTGATGTGTCTGTTGATTGTGGACAACACCAGAAGGCTTGCACCTCTATATAAGGTGTTGCATCATTTCCAACCGATTTTTGGTCTCACAACATGGCTTATAATGGTTAGAGGCCTTCCAGCGTCATCCAAAAGCCAACAGCCACATCAGCAAAGGTCAAAGCCAACGTGGCCTTGACTACTATGTACTGAAGCAAGGAGGAAACGTCACAAGGGGGTAAAGTGAACAATTTGAGAAGTTCAGGATGAAAATAAACGGTTTACGAATTTACGGTGAAAAATAGAATCTGGATAAAGTTCAAGGGTCAAGAATGGACTTATATGAAGATAGTACCTCTTCTTGTGGTGAGGGCATTCCACTTGCTTCGCTCTGCTCTTGAGTTTTTTCTTCCTTTTTGTCAGAAACATCTCCTTCGAGCCTCACTTGACCAGTTGCCTCATCAGATGGCATTCCAGACATAGTGAACTTAAGCTGCAGAGAAGACTTCAATTTCAGTGTCCACGCTCATGGTGCAAAGAATCATTTAATAGCACACAGTATGCGCTAACCATCTAACATACACAAAAAAGGAAGATAATGTATTTGATGGCCCATGAGGGTGGTAAAAGTTTCTCAGAAAAAGAAACAGAATAAAAGGCAGATGTTTATTGTTCCCTTCCTTTATGCAATAGAAGAAAGCAGAAGTACATAAAATAAATAAGGAGACTAATACCAGCTTCTTATTTCTAGGGGAGGAGGGATATGTCCAACACAAGAACTTCTCAACTGTACCAAAATTTATGCCGACTCACTGTTTGTCACTGTAAGCTTGTTAAGCATTCAATCAGAGGAAAAGAGGAAACAGGGGATGCATACATTGCATGTTTATTTTCAGCTCAAGAAGAGTTCATATTATTCTGATTAGTCTATGATAAAAACAATACCGTTCCCATTATTAATACCGAATTTCCAAACAAGTACACGCCTTTATAAAGCACAATGATCTTGCAAAATACCATGTATGAGCACAATTGAATGAGGATGGAGGACAGACATGCTTGGCACAGATTGCAGTTCAACCTTCAAATATTTCCAACAACTAGATTCGATACTAGTCTATTTGGGCCTTTTTCTTGACAAAAGGCACAAGCATTTAAAAATATATATATAATCTAGGCTGTACAAATCTAAATAACAGTCTAGAGAATATATATGTTTTCATACAGCTGCTATCCTATGTCTGCAGGAATTTCAACTGCACATGACAAATGATGCAAGCAATGCATATTTAGTCAAAAGTGGCTTGAAAAGATGCACTCACCTAGACCTCAATTCAGAACATGACATGAGCAAAGAAGCACTAACCACATCAGTATTCAGTCAATTTCTCTACCAAAAAGGCATCAACCTTTGTTTTAAATTTGTTTGTTGTCAAGTGCAATACAACTTGAATGGGTCAGCAGATGAATTTATTGTCAAGTGCAATACATCAAGAACTGGTCAGCAAACGGACTCATATATAGGTCATCAGCCATTCAGCCCAGTTTTGTTCTAGAATTACTGACAGCGTGCAAAACTGATGGTGTCATGACTGCAATCATGGAAATGTCAGCTAGTCAGGTAAGGAAAAAAACAGCTGACCTTCCTAACTTCATTTCTGATTTTAATTACGTCAGTGTTAGCAGTCCAAGATCCATCTAATAGTTCAAATTAATCATTCCATGCCTTGCTTCACCATTATCACTGCATTGATAGTGAACAATTGATATGGTTCCACTTTTTTTTTCTTAAAAAAAATAAAGAAAAGAAATGTTGTCCCACTTCAGACATGCCATTGGTTGTAAAGGGAATTGCAATCCGAAGTGTTCTCCCAGATCAGATCAGGAGAGGACCTAACAAGGGGCATGGGATTCAGTTGAACACCCGCAAAATTCTAGAATTTTTTTTTTGATGAAATATAAGCACACTACCAAAACAGCAAATGAATCAGCAGGAAACAGCAGGAAACTGCACAGATTGGGGATTCCATTCATTGGTTGGTTACATTTCCCAGACAAAGGATTTGTGTAAGAAAACAAAAGTTTAACAGTATGATAAAATCTCGGAACAAGCAAAGCAGTGTAGGCTAAGGATAAGGGTACGTCACCGGCGAGGTAGATCAACCCAGAGCCCCGGATGGATCCGCGGGAACGGGGAGCAGCACGACGATGGCGGCGGAGCTTTCCCCCTTGGGTGGGAAGGAGGGAGGGGTTTGCCGCAGAGAGAGCTCGATCGAGGGTAGCGTGAGATCGACGTGGGGAAGGAGAGGAGGAGGAGGTGGAGGAGGAATCGAGGGGAAGGCGATGGGGATGGGCGAAAACTTTGCTTTGGATCGGGAGGGACACGTGTCTGATGTTAGGCGGCGTACGCGGAATTTCTTCGTTGGGAATGGGGCAGAGTGAAGAGACCTGTTGCCGTCTCTACCACGGATTAAGACACCATGTATTTGTCACTCACGCCGTGTGTGACAGGTGTGCTCATGATTAGCGGACTTTTGATGCGTTTGGTTCACTCGCCCAGCTAGCCTAGCTCGGCAGTGCTAAACCATCTCTTTGCCAGCTTGCTAGTCTTGTCGTGGCTTTTTTTTTTGGATGGTTTTACTTCATGTGGCAAGGATTAATGGTTATCTGCTACATATGAGTTCACCTCTTGTTGCTAAGTTTTTTCTGTAAATCGATTTTTTTCTTTTAGGTCCAGACTGATTGTTCACTGTGTTTATGGGTTTGGTAGAGAGGGCAATTTTCGATAAAGCTTGAGCGAGAGTTCGCAACAAGAACTGGAAGAAAAGGCCGGCAAGATTGGGTGAGTCGTTGAAAAATATCACTGATTTTACGTCGCTGATTTCAGAGAAGTGTGTGTCGCCCTCGTTCCAATATTTTCGCGTGAGCAAAGTTTGCCGTCGAAGGAGATCGCTAAATGGGCTCTCCCTGCTAGCTAGATTTTTCTTGCCCCGCTAAGCCAGCTCGCCCCAAAAAGCTAAATTATTTTACTGGCACGTAGCTTTGCTTGGGTTAGAGTTGTTTTGTGGCCTATCTACTCTTGAACTAAGTTGGCGCTATGGAACTAACTGTTTTAAGCAGTTTTGATAGGCCAAATATACGTGTAGATTTTGACTGAAATTACATCTACCAATGGGTCTAGGGAATTTGGCCAATACATTCGGGCTAATGGGAAATATATGAAGGAGGTTTTTTTAACAGTTGAGCCTGATAATCGTCGGGGTCCTTTTTTTTAGTTTCTATAAATCATGTCAACTGATGTGACCCTTCTGCTTCATAGCTTACCCATCGTATTTCCTCTAATCGTCATTGAGATACTAAGAATCAAACCTAATTTTCATTGAGAGGTTTTATTTATAGTTTTTAAATGTTCCATTAACCGCCATCACGCTGCTCTTTTATAGCATTTGCCACCACTGTATTCTAGATGAACTGCTTTTAGTACTCCTTATTTTTATTTTAGTTTTTATTTCTAGATTGTATTGGTACTCGAACTCTCATTTTTGGAATTTATATTATTATTATTATTTGTTTTAATTAATCTCGTGTTGTGTTATGTATGAACTTTTTTTTCAATATTTATTTTTTATTCTGAATTTTAGTTATTTCTAAATTGTATTCATACTTGAACTCTCAATTTTTATTTTTCTAATTTCTGAATTGATGTTTGATAAATCGTGAGGTTATCTAGTGTTACATATTCAATATTTCAGAATTTTATCCTTGCACGTTCAAGGCCTCATTCCAATTCCTTCTACAATCATTCATATTATCAAAATATATTCAATGATCGATTTTTAATTAAACTAATTTGATATTTTAGATATTGCTAAATTTCTCTATGAATTTGGTCAATGACTAAAAAAGTCAAACAAATTATATAATATGAAACGGAGAAAAAGTACTATTTTAGGTCAATAACTGGGCTCATTAACGACCAATTAACCTTCACAAGCAAACTGGTGACACCACACACAATTTGAGCTTCCTCTCCACCATTGACAGCTAGTGTAAAATCAATGGTTCGTCTGTAGTAGTTAACACCATCACCAGCTTGTGCAACAATTGTCACTATACCAGCATCTCATCCAAAGAAACAGCCATCACACGGCGCAATAGTGGGATAGAATGTCCATTGCCATCGGCAGCCACCACACCAGCTGCTGGAAAATTGCTATCATGAAGCACAATGCTATCTTGGATGGTGCATTCAGCATTGGTGCTGGTGCAAAGCTGTGATCCCTCCACAGAAATGTCCTCCCTGATTCAGGTGACCTCTGAGGCGACGTGCACGGTGCAGAGCCTGATGCTGCTGCTAGGAAGAGCGAGACTTTTGAAGTTTGAACCGCAGTCTGCATATTGCTCAATTTTTGGTGCAGGCTGTACGCCATCCAACACTAGCAGTCCTTTACTAAGTTGTTTGTCCGCGTGGCCTCGACGATCATCCTTCATCTTGAGGTCAACCTCAAACTACACGCTGTCATATAGCACCAGTCCTCGATGAGGGCCGGTCAATGTCAAAGATTCATCCTACAATTGAAATAAATTGTACTGATCGTTCGATGATCTGTTGTACATAATGCAATTCATGGAATAGGATGCTTGCTAGTGTAGGGAGGGTGACCTCTGAGGCGATGAGTTGAGCATCTTGTCTGGAGCGGCGGAAGAGAGGAACACATTTCAGATCAAGGTGGTCCACTGGTCTAGAAGCTCATGGGGAAGGGAAACACACATCATCGTCGTCGTCGTCATCACACAACCAAAATCAAAATCGGGGTAGGAGGGGACGATTACGCGGATGGCGAGCACGTTGATCATATCGCACAGGAAGCGGAGGGCTCGGGCCGGTGGGGTGTAGGCGGTGTCGTCGGTGAAGCGCATCGGAGCAAGGCCGGACTCCTCGTCGAGGTCGAAGTCGGACATGTCTCCCTCTCTTGCTTCTCGTGCTCCAGCCTCTCCGCCGCCGCCGCCGCCTCGGCCACGGTCGCTGCCTCGTCGTAGAAGGAAGGCTCCAGGTTCACGCGGTCGCTGTCGCCGTCGTCCGCCATTGCCGCCGCTGCCGCCGAGAGGAAAGGAGAGAAACAACCCCTTGCCCCACTTGGGCCTTGGCCCCCATTATACGGCCCATTCTGAATCTGCACACTTCTTGATGGGTCTTTTCTCCCTCTGTGACGCGCCACTATAGGCCGAAATACACGCCATTTTACCCAGGAATTTGGAGCAGTTTTGGACCAAAAATTGCACCTGTTCTATCTTGGGCCGTAATTACGCGCCACAAGAGGCCGGATTTTTCGCTTAACTTTGGGCTGAAAACCTGAAACAACACGGAAGAAATAGGCATAAGTTCACTTTGTCTCCCTCGAATATAGCTCCAATCTAATTCGTATTCTTTAACCACAATACTGATATCATGACTCTCTCAACTATTGAAACCGGTGTAATTTGACTTCCTCAGCAGTTTTAGAGAACGGTTTCGCTGACGTGGTGTTTTGACCTAGTCCAACCAGCTCACTTAGCATGTGGGACCCACATGTCCGTGTCACATTTTCTTCTCCCCTCTTTCTTTTCTCTTTTTCTACCCTTTCTAACCCGGCAGTGCGAGGCGGCCAGCGAGTCGACAACAGTGTGGAGAGGACGATGGGAGGAGGGATGGATGGAGGTGGGGGAGCCGCTCAACACCGTCATGATGGAGCCTACTCCCATGGAAGTCGCATGGTGGAGGGCGGCGCCGGTGCCGCCCCACTAGGCAAGCTCGAGGCTGCGCTCCTAGAAAAGCCGCTCAATGACGCTGCCCCGCTACCTGCTATTGATCGACTTCAACGAGGTGTTTGACAAGCTCGAGGCGAAGCTTGCCCCCCTAACTCCGTCACCGCCTAGGACGGACTCGACCCTAGCGATAAATGGTCGGATCCATTGGGGAGGGAGCCACCACGGATCTGGAGTACGAGGTTGCACCTCCTCGCAGCACCTGTGCTAGCTCCATGCCTCCTCGATTGATGGGCACCGATGAAGTGGGCGGCTTGGGTGTTGGAGGTTGGCCGTCGGGCAAAGAAGGAAGACAAAAGCACGCTGCTAGCTCCCTGCACCCTACATCCCGTGTTTCGATGGTGACCTCCATCATCGTCGACGGCGTCGCAGCTGCCTTTGGATGACAGAAGCAGTAACAGCGTTCAGGGTCTCCTATCTGCCGAACGAGGCCACGCCGCTGCTCCGCCTCGAGCCTCAAGGCCCTACCACTGCTACATGTCAGGATCATCCCGTTGCTGCTCTGCCTCTATCTTGGGCCACGCTGGGTGCGAGCTTCTGTGTCATCTGCGCACCTCTGTCTGGGCTGACTGGCCTCTCGACATCGTCGCTGTTGTGGTAGTAGAAAAGGAGAGAGGGAAAGTGAGAGAAATGTGACACTGACATGTGGGTCCCGCACGCTGAGTCAGCCAGTTGGACCGGGTCAAAGCACCACATCAATAGAACCGCTTTCCAAAACCGTTAGGGGGGGGGTAAATTACACCGGTTTCAATACTTGGATTTTCAAGATATCCGATATTGTAGTTACTTGCAATGCAACATGATACGGACTTTGGGATTTCTTCTCGCGTTTTTGCTTGGACTCTCACTAGTGCCGAGGGACTTGGTTTACACCGGTTTTAAAAGATGGAAGGATATGTATGTTATATACTTATATCAGGCTTCGTGGTTAAGGGACGTGATTATAACTCGACTCTTAGATCAGGGACCAGGCCTGGTTAAGTGAACTTTTGCCTTTTGCTTGGACCTTTTGTTTTTTTTTTCCTTCTGCTTGAACCTCTCCCTTTTTCCGGGTTATATAAATCAGGTAAGATCAATTTTGTTCTCCCAATGGACAGAAAAGAAACATGTGGCCAACAGGCCAAGTAAACCCGAGGGGAGCTAGGAATGTCCAAGCAAAACAAAAGGGCACGTGAAGTGAAGAGATTGGTTGGCATTGTGACAACAGCTCACCTCGACGAGCGTTTAAGCTTAGTATATTCTGCAAGCCCCCCCACCTAACCCTGAAAGTCCTCAAGACCACAACTAAACAACATCAAGCAAATCAAACCGGACAACCCACAGGATAACTAGTCAGTTTTTCCAATGAATCCATCCTCCTCTGCAAAAGCTGTTTTTTTTAGAAGTTGCAAAAGCTGTTAGGACGCACATTTTCCTTCCTTGAGACGAGTAAACTATAGTGTAGTACAGTACATTATTGCTGCCCCGTCGATCTCAAATCATCAGCAAGCATGAAGGCACATACACCCTCCTAGCTACTAGTCTTTCTTTTTTGTGCTAGTAAAGAAATAAAAACTAGATCTATTTCAGGTTATAAAACTTTTTAGTATTACACATATTCATATGAATGTT